TGTGATAAACACATGAGCCAGGAGCAAAAGCAACTTGGGGAGGAAAGGTTTATTTTAGCTCACAGGTTACAGTCTGTCATTAAGAGAAGCCAGGGCAGGAGCTCAAGACAGGAGCTTGAAACAGAAGCCATGGAGGAAAGCTGCTTACTGGCATGCTCCCCCTGGCTTGTTTAGGTACCTTATACAGCCCAGGACCACCTACCTAAGGATGGCACCACCCACAGTGGGCTGAGCCCTCTTACATCATTTAGCAATTAAGAAAATGCCTCACAGAAATGGCCACAAGCCAATCTGATTTAGGAAATTCCTCAACTGAGGTTTCCTCTTTCCAGGTGACTCTGGGTTGTATCACATTGACACCCGGAACTACGACACTATGTTCACTTTGCCTTTGTCCACTGGATCAGTACTGTCTTCTTTTCCCTCAGTTCTGTAGTAAAGCACACACAACCCTCTCTACCTCTGCTTTACCCTCTACTGGCGGTGCTTTTCCATAGATGCCCATAGGGTGGCGTTGTTCCCCCTCCTGCCTTCAAATATTTGCTTACCAGCCTCCTAGTCTGGCAGGGCTTTGTTTGGTCCACTTACTCTACTTATTTCCCCTTGTCCTCACATTACTAAAGTACCCTCCCTTCTCTGTGGGGGGGGGGGGGAAATGTCCTTTTTCTTTCCCCACAGCCTTGTGGTACTTCACCCCCGCCTAGGTTTTAGTCATTCCTATGTGTTTTTTTTTGGGGGGGGGGGGGGGGAAATGTCCTGTTTCCTTCCGCACAGCTCTGTTGTACTTCAACCCAGCCTAGGATTTAGTCATTCCTATGTGCTTGGACCCCTTACAAAGGCAAAGGGTCTCCTTTGTCTCCTGTGGGGTTGCCAGTAGAGAGATGTTTCATAGGCATTGATTGGTGGGATGGATGAATGAACTCGTTTTTATCTTGCTCTGGTCCTGGGTACAAGTAGGTTGATGTCACCAGAGAGCAGCAGGAATCATTTTCGATTCAAGAATGTTCCAACCAATAGAACACTGCTGACTGATGCTCTGTGGATGACTTGTGGAGGTGTTTTAACTGCCTGTTGGTAGGCTCCACTCTTGTCCAACTCTGATTCTCTTCTTCCATTTGTCTCTATCTGGACAATAGAGAACCCGCCTTGCTCCGCCCCATACCCCAGGTAATCATTCAATGCCTTTTAATTCTACTTTGTTGATATCTTCTCCACTGTCTGCTGTCCCGTGTCCACGGCTCTCCCTACCACCATGTCTTGCCTCTGAATCATGACCAGTGTCCTCTCTGGTCACTCTGGCTTACTTGTAGCCAGAAGGTACTGCTGAGGGCAAATCCCGGTCTTCCTCTGTCTCTCTCAGTGGCCTCACGTCCTGGTGCCTGCACTTGCTTTGGGCTCTGGGTCCTGTGGCCTCACCTGTGTTGTTCGCTTGCTCTGGGCTCATTGTTGCTCTTCAGGACAGGAGTTGCCTGTGAGGGTCCAGACTGCTCTTCCCACGGTTACCCTCATGTCTTTGCACATGCTGCTCCTTCTTTCTCTCTGTCCCAAGTTCCTTTCTTACTCCTCTACCATCCCCTCCTCAGGAAGACATATACTGGGGTGAATCAGGGTTGTCTTCTGTGGTCCCCTTACTCTCTGCTTTCCTTGAGTCATGGCCCTTACTTGTCACTGTACAGTGTCTACCTAAACCCTGGCAGGGGCCCAGCAGTTTGCTGAATGGACATATTTTCACAGCATGCTTATTTGCCTATGAAAAAAAATCCATGATTTGGCTTAATTAATTAATTAGAGACAGGGGCTCAATGTAGCCCAAGCTGGCTTCAAATTTGTGATCCTCCAACCTCATCCTCCCCAGTGCTGGGATTACAGACATGTGCTATCATGCCCAACTATAATCTACAATTAAACAATTTTTCCAGCATATATATAGTCAACAGTTCATGGATTCTGCATCCATTCAGTCATGGATCAAAAAATTCTGAAACAATTTGCATCTGTGCTGAGTTTATACAGACTTTTATTAGTTGTTAAGCCATAGAATGTAATAACCATTCCCAAAGTATTAGGTGTTATAAGTAACCTGAGATAGTTTAAAAGAAGGTGTGTGTAGGTTAGATGCAAACACTATGCCCTTTAATGGATGGGCTCTGGGCACCCCTGGGCTTTGGTATTCAAGGCCACTTCAGAACTAGTTCTCTGTTGATACTGGGGAGCAACTGTGTTTTATGGAGGGTGAACTGGTGGCAGGCCCTGCAGTGAAGTGACAGGTTCCTGCTCTCAGAGACGATGGGTCACAGTCAACTTTGAATCCTTTTCCACAGCACAGGGCAGAGTGGGCACCCACTCTGTTAGTTAAATTACTGCCTGGACCTTCTCTGACCCAATTAGGTGGCTCTTTGCTTAGTCCTTCCCCATCTCTCTTCCATCAGTAGATTTTTATTCTGTACTCATAGATGAATGGAAACAATCTCATTAAGAACTACCTCCTCCTGCCACCCCTGATCTCTATCTTAGGAAGAGAAACAGCCTCGGGTCATTGAGTATCTTGAGGCGAGGTCTTTGATATCTGAGGCTCATTGTGCCGCAGTATGTATGATACAAGATGGTGTTCCACTTTTCCAGATGGAGGGAACTGTGTCTCAGAGGAATGACTTCCCCAGGTCTCATAACCAAGAGGAACAGCTGGAAATTTTTGTTTTCCTTTTCAATACTGGGGTTGGAACCAGGGCCTAGACCATGTCAAGCAAGTGCTCCACCACAGAGCTTCTTTATCCCACCCCGGTTAGTGTGATGTTGGAAGTCAGAGCTTCTACCGGCTCACCCTACAGGCTGCTCTAGAATGACGTGTTCAGAAGTGTCAGGTCTTCTAAGAACTGATGGTGGGCTTGTACAGCAAAGTTCCATTGGAAACTGGCAAGAGTGACATCCTAGTTGAGCCATACTGTTCACTTAAATGGACTTGGAATCCATTTCTGCAACACCTTGCTGTGCAATTTGGAACAATTTTCCTGCCTTGAAGTTCAGCTTACCTCTCTGGAGAGCAGGGATGGTAAAACCTTAGAATGTGACCATCAGGTGTCATGAAGGTATAAAGTGCTTATCACTGTGTCTTGCATACAGTGCTTATTACGTTACCAAAGGATGGCAACACAGAATCTATGTGGGTATTCTGTGTTCTACCAGTGTCTGTTTAGATGGAAGTAGGATCCCAAGGAGCGAAACATTGGCTTTTCCTCAGTGGGCTATGAACTTCAGGTCTCTGTGGACCCCAGAGCACACTGGCCAGATGAAGCAAGGTCACTGAGGTCAAGCAGGCAGGCTTCTAAACCTGGGGGAACCCTTTGGGGTCATCTAGCACAGGTGGGAGGCCAGGACCAGAGAGAAAAGCAGTGGGTGGAGGTCAAGGAGGGGTGGCGTCTGTTATTTGTAGCAAGGGAATGGGCATCCAGGAGTGTGGGAACACTGCCATCCCTTTAGTGAATGAAGATCACTCCCTACCACTCTTAGGTCTTACCTTTGGAGCCTCTCTTGCTGCTGAATGGACAGGAGGCTGTCTGTGATGTCACAGAGTTAGGAAGCAGGGAATGTTGGGATAGGGGTTCTGGACTGGACCACAGGGTGGGGAGGAAAGAGGCTGTCTGCTGACCTTCTCCGCAGTGGTCAATCCCACTGTGTATCATGTATCAGGTTGATGGAAAGGATGTCTCCTGACCTTGGATTAGTAGGCTAGCTAGGACATGTTCTCTTGAGAAAGCTAGACTCACTGTATTAATATGGTTTAAGTCCCTACCACTGTCCCACCTGCTCAGTTTTCATTGGCCAAATCAGCCAAAGCACACTGTACCCAAGAAAATAAGTGGCAAAGAAGGGAGTGGGATTCGGGCTCAGTATTTCTTTATGTGCCAAGTAGATGCTATTTCTGAACTCACTTAGCAGATTAGGAAACTCAGGCACATAGAGTAGGAGGCTGAAGCATTGTGGAGGTTTACGCCATCACTGGTTCCCTTTTCACAACAGAGGGAATGCTGGTGTGTTGCCTGCTGCACCTGCCTCTCCTGTTCTACCCTGATCTCTGTGCTGTGGCGGAGACCTGTTCAGAGCTGTGCAGAAGACTGTCTCCATATGACTGGATTAGGCCCACCAGATAACTGGGATTCTCTCTTGCTTAAGGTACCTGCTTAGCAACCTTGCCTACACCTTAATACTCTTCTACAGTGTGAAGTAACATGCCCAGGGGTCCGGGAATAGCAGAAAGGCATCTGTGGGTGAAGGGGCATTTTTCTGCCGCCACAGACTTTAAACACTTGTATCTGGAAATGAAAAGAATGAAATAAAGTCTCAATTCAAGAATCAAGTCAAAGAACATGGCTGGCAGGGTGGCTCAGCAGGTAAAGGTGCTTGCTGCCAAAGTCAAAGGCCCTGAGTTTGATCCCTGGAACTCACATAGTGTAAGGAGAGAACCAACTCCTGCAGGTTGTCCTCTGATCCCTAGAATAGGTGAAAAAGTAGCCACGAGACATTTTTGAGACAGCTGGAGGGACTGGAATAGTATTGTATCAGCGCTGCTTTTGGAACATGCCAAACTTGTATGAGGAGAGCCTTGTTTTTAGGAAACATGTATTGAAGAATTTAGGGAAAGGGGCAGAATGCTCAGTCTCAGGCCATCCAGGAGGGAAAAAAAGAGGGAGAGAGGAAGAAATTGGAAAAGCCGTAAAGCACTGGTGAATCGGAGTAAATATAAATAGGAAGGGATTTTTTTTTTTTTTGGTATTATTTAGGTAACTTTTCAGTAAATTTGAAATTATTTAAAAAATTAATTTTTAAGAGGTTATTTAGAAGTGACAGAATATAAGAACTGATAAGATATTATAAGGTACTGGGGAGGGACAAAGAGGAGGGACATGTTCTCTGATGCGACCGAGTACTTTAATTGCAGGCAGCTCCCCCCCGCTCTGGCTTGTGTCAGGAGCTGGAGTGGCTCAAGCTGGTGGCACAGGGATGGCTCAGACCTCTTCTCTTCCTTCAGGGGAGTTTCTGAATCAGTCTTCATGACTCCTGCCCACCACCTTCTTCCTCCTCGTGGAGACCCTCCAGCAGCCATGCAGCTCAGAGCCTGTGTGGTGCTGCCTCTAGAAACCTCAGGGTCTCCCGATGAGACACGGTTGGAAGGACCAGTGCTCCTGGCAGTAGCGGTTTAGATTCTTTTTGCAATACCCTGTTTGTATATTGTATTCAGTCAGCTCTGAAAGAAGGAGGGAAAGCATGGTATTGGGTGAAGGCCTTTGAGCTGGACTTGGATGGACTGTTGCGGTTGTATCCTTCTAAGATGGGTTCTCAGATTCAGGAGTCCCTGGGAGCCCAGGCATACCCAGTCTAGTAGGAAGGCCTGATATTGTTCTGCAGCATGGTGAAGTCAGCGAGGACGGAATGTCTCACAAAGCAGAAGACATGGCAAGTTGGAGACTTAGGCCCGACATGGCTCGGACTCTGAGGTCATTTCTTGGTAAGCTCATGGAAACTCGCTTTCTCATGTGGTTCTCAGCCTTGCCAGGAGGGATGGGTAAGCATGTGAAGTCCCCAGCCCCTCGCCCTTGATTCAGGTAGAGCAGGCGTCTCTTAGTCTTGTGTGGAAATTCAACACTGAGTGGGCTTGTGTTGGCCAGAAGGGGTTGACTGAGAGTTCTACAGTGGCGGGGGTGGTGGTGGTGGTGATCCTTATCCCTCAGTGACCCCAGGGAGGAAGGGGAGCTGTGTGAGGGCATCTGGGCACAGAGTTGATGCCCCTCAACATGGCTACGTTTCTTCTTCCTGGTTTGTGCTACTGTTCTAGGCTGGGCATCTGCCTTTTTACAGTCCAGAGATATGCTATCCTGACTGAACTTTGCTCAACATATCAACATTTTGGGGTACTTTTCATTTACCAAGTACCTGGCTGGACTTAGGGGAACAACTAGGAGTAAACCCAATGTGGACCCTATCCACCTGGAACTCAGTGTGTAGCCTCCAAAATAGATATAAGCAGAGTCACACAAAATGTACCCTCAAGAGCACAGCACAGTGCTCAGGAGAGTCTGGACATGGGGTGTTCTTTGCTCCAAGCCCTGCTCCTCCTCATGCAATGCCTACCTTGGGAAATCATGGAGTTAGACCTCAAATCCCTGAAGTCTCCCCAGCATCCTCTGGAATGTGACCATGGCTAGCTCACATACCCATAGAGTTTGGTCATCAGGACAGGGCCTCCTTCCCAGAAGCTAGTGTCAGGACCTTGATTCAGGGCTCACCCTCAAAATCACTGCTGCTGGAGGAGTCTTTCTTTTCTTGACCGACGAAGGACTGTGCAGTAGTACGCTGGAGATTTGGTCCGCCCAACTCATCTTTCTGACGTTTTGAATCTGCCAATGGGAAGTCCATGGGGTCACGTGGGGAGGCTCAGTCAACCACGGAAGGGAGGGCATTTAGCCAACTAAAGGAGCACACTTGGGAGAGTGGTGCATGTTACAGGGTTATTTACCTTCTCCTTTGAGATGGTGCTATATTCAAAATATGTTTTAAATATATTATCATTTTTAAATTTTTTTTATATGTGTATATTTCTTGCATGCATGTAAGTTGTACCTGAGTTGTTCAATGCCTCTGGAGGACAGAAGAAGGTGTTGGATCCCCTGGAGCTGGAGTTATGGGTGGTCGTTAGCCACCATGTTGGTGCTTGGATTTGAACCCGGGTCTTCTGCAAGAACAGTCAGTACTCTTAACCACTGAGCCATCACTGCAGCACCCCAAAATATGTTTTTTTAAAAATTAACCTATTTATAAATGTAATGCATATCCATTATAAAAAGCTAGGAAATACTGAACAGTACTAAGCAGGAAAAAATTGTTCCCAACACCTCTCACTCAGATACTGTCTTTCCCCAAGCATGCTTTTACATAGTTCATCATACTACGTGTTTTACATGTGGTTTGTTTTCCTTCATATCGACATTAAAAAAGTTTTATCATCTCTTTTGTGGATAATTCAGTATTTATTTAACCAATGTTGAATGTTTAGACATTTTCTAGTTTTATTATTACAAAGACGGTTATGATGAACAATTGCAGTTAAGCCTTTGCTGTAACAAGGCATTTTGGGAACAAACTGAGCTCTGTTCTGTTGTAGGTGAGGTAATTTTGACACTTACTAGCTGTGTAACTTGAGCAAAATGCTCTGCCTCTGCTCATCCTGCAAAATGGTGTGTCCATTTTTTAATTTATTTTTAAAAATTATTTTTATTTTGTGTGTATGAATGTATTGCCTGAATGTGTGTAAGTGCACCTGTGTCATGCAATGCCCATGGAGGTCAGAAGAGGGCATCTGATTCCCTTGGAACTGGAGTTATGGATAGTTGTTAGCTGCCACATGGGTGCTGGGAATTGAACCCACTTGGATCCTCTTGAAGAGCAACTAGTGTTCTTAACCACTAAGCCATCTCTCCAGCCCCTGGTGTGTTCATTTTAGATAATGACTGACTTAATTACTGTGTGGATTAAATAAACTCCCTTCCACTAGTCCCAAGCGCATTTGTGACACAGTGGGGGATTTATTTCATCCTACGCACCCGATGATTCAGAAAGTAAAAGTGTGTTATGAATATTCCCATTTTACAGGTAAGGATAGCTGAGGCACAGAGAGAGGAAGTGACTTGCTCAACTTCTGTGGCAGAACTGAGATTCAAAGGAACCTGTGCAGATGTAAAAGCAGAAAGCTTGGCCACCATCTTACAGCCTGTAGCTTCATTTCTCCAGTTACAATTTACATGGAGATCATGAGAAAACAGTTTCTGACTCAGTAGTTCTGAAATCAGAGTCCAAAAGTGAAATAT